GCGGTGTCGTTCGGCCACCCATGGGCGCGGGCGCGAGCGCCCAGACGGAGCAGGCGGCGAGCGCGAGCTCGCCGCCGAAGGTGAAGCCGACGCGCACCGCGGCGACGGAGAAGTCGCTGTCCTTCGTCTGCAAGCTGCTGCGCGACGGCATCGAGACGCACGCGACGCACCTCGGCGCGTCGCCGGCGCCGGCCAAGGGCAAGCCCACGCCCGGCGTGCTCTGGGGCGACGGGAGCTCGCTCTACGTCGGGCGGAGCCGCACGCAGAAGGCCGACGCGCAGGTCCGCTGGGACGCGGCCGGCGTATCGTTCGCGGCCGACGGCGACGTGCTCACCGTGACGTCCGAGGCGACGCAGTTCCGGGTCGAGCTCAAGGGCAAGCAGCACCTCGCGGGCTGGCTCGCGACCTACCTCCACGCCTTCCTCCCGGGCAGCCCGACGGAGTACGTCGTGAGCTTCGAGGAGTGGGGCCGCCTCGGCATCGCGTTCGCGGTCTTCCTCGGCGTCGTCATCCCCGTCGTCTTCCAGGTCGAGGAGCCCGCCACGTCCCTCGGCGTCGAGCCCGCGTCCATCCTCGTCGCGCTCAACGGCACGGACATCGCGTCCCTCCCGCCCGAGACGGACATGCTCGACTTCATCTCCAACGCGGACTTCCCCAAAACCTGCGTCTTCCGCCGGCCGCTCCTAAGCCTCTAGTCGCTTTTCGTCGTCGGGCCACGCGCGCGCGCGCCCCGAGTCGTTCTTCGTCCCCGGGCCACGGGAACTGAAGCCCCTAGTCGTCGTCGTCCCCGGGCCACGCGAACTCGGCGCAGAAGCCGACGCCGACCATGAAGAAGAGCACGAGGGGCACCATGAGCCCGTCGAAGAACGTGAGGAGCTTGATGGCCCAGTGGCGCGCGAACCAGGCCCGCTCCACGCGGACGAACCCGGGCGCCCGGTGGTCCACGACCAGAAAAGGCAGCAGCCGGATGCACGGCATGTCGCCGACGCCGGGGAACGTCACCGTGGGCCGCGCGGCGTCGCGCTCGAGGTACGCCTTGATCTCGTCGCCGTACCAGTCGAAGTCCTCGAACCACTTCTTCATCTCCCGCTCCACGAGGTCCCGGTTCCGGATGGGCGTCACGATCGTCGAGTCGACGTCCAATATGAACTGGAGCGCCAGGCAATTCAGCACGATGTCCATGAGGTCCGACTGCGTGAAGAAGAGGAAGATCAGCGTCACGAGCACGAGCTTGAAGCTCAGGATCTGCACCGCCGCGCTCACGAGCATGCACAGGCCGTACCGCGAGCACTCCGGGTCCGGCGCGTCCACGGGCACGGGCGGCCGGCCCTTCCGCGGCGGGTGGAACTGCGCGAAGAACCGGTACGCGGCCTCCTCGTACTGCACGGCCCCGAAGTTCGTCAGGCACGTGAGCCAGGCGAGCACGTAGACGCAGGCGCCGTAGACGGCGCGCTTGAACGCGTAGGGCGGCGCGTCCGCGCGCGTCCCGGCGACCGCCGCCGCGGGGCAGAAGAGGAACGGCAGCCGCATGTGGTTCTGTTCGACGATGATCAAAGCCAGGGGGACGAAGACCTGTATGAACACCGCGAGGTAGGTCACGCGCCGCGTCATCGTCAAATCGAAGACCTTCCGCGGCGGCCGGCCCGCGTGGTCGTGGATGATCTCCGACGCCCACAGCAGCGTGTAGACGGACGCGTTGTCGAGCTGGCCCTCGACGGCGGCCTTGAGCATGTCGCCTGTTGGACAAATCGATGGCTCTCGTCGAGTTCTCGAAGCACGGCCGAAGAGTCTGGTCCAAACCGTTCGATTACGCTCACATTGAAGTCGGGTTGAAGATTTGATTTCCACACAGCGTGTCGCGG